AATGACCGAAACCAAGAATTTTTCCCATGCCGATCGCCAAAAACTCTACCCGGACATAACAACTCCAGTTTTGCAAGCTTGCTTTTGAAGGTATTCCCGTTGCTCCGGTTGAAGAACCACCAACTCTGTTTTCGCAATGGCCGCCGCCATCGCGCCCTTCGCCAACTCCTCTTCGATGCGCTTCAGACACTGATTTGCCGGGGAGGGGCGATGGACTGTCAACAGCTTGACAGTGCTCGTCGCCCGCTCCAGCGCCTCGATATTCCCTCTGTACGCCTCGCAAGGGCCTGGCACAGTGATGTCCACCTTGCCCTTGGCGAGGCATCTCACCAGAGAACCCAGAAGCATGCTATTGCACTCTTCCGCGTCCGGCGAGCTGTGATAGTATCCCTTCATGTATCGGCAGCCTTCCTTGAGGCATCTGTACAGGATGACGAACGGTTCGAGGTTGGCGGAGATCAACGCTTGGCGGTGCTTGATGATGTTTTCTGCAGACAGATATGGATTAGCTCTTGTCATCTAGTTGTGGTATGCATGGGTGACTTACCAAAGACTTCAGGAGGCCTCAGATACACGATCCTCTCGAGAGGAAAGTTGTAGCCTTCCGTGCCTTGCTTCCAAATCCGGCCAGAGTGTCCAAAGACCAACCGACCCTTCAAGTCGACGATGGACTCAAAGGTGATCTTCTTATACATCTCCTCGAAAGTCTCCATGTCGCCGAGCTCCCATGCAACACACAGCAGGTGCGCATTGTCTTTCTGATGCTTCACGCCCTGCATCCAAGAGCGTGCCCATGGTCGCGTGATCACGGTCATGTCGTATTTCTCGGTGATGGTCAGGACGTCGTAGAGTCGCATCAGGGTAAGCTTCTCAGGAACCAGGTTGAATCGGCCATGGACGATGTTCAGAACAATCTCCATGGCTTCCGTCGCATCTTCGGGAAGCTCAACACGCCATTCTCCACCATTTTCTTCAGGGCGCGACTCCATGAATCCACCGAATAACATTGTCTTCAAAACTGGGGAACTCCGGCCGAGTGCTCTTGAACACACGACAAAATCCTGAGGGCTCTCGTCAATCTCGCTGCCAACATGCAGCCTGAGATCGCCCTTATCGTCAAGGTAGATGGTTGGTGAAGAGATGAGCCCCGTGAGGGGCTCGGTAAGCACCATAGTGCAAGTGGACATGATGAACCTGTCGTCTGAGGATTTGATAGTGTTGATGGGCTTCCGAGGAGAAAAGAGACAAGGTGATCAGCGAGATCAGCAAGCGAGGCGTATTAGATGCAGCCGAACCACCAGATATCGTATCTCATCTGAGGTTCGTCCTAAAGTCCCTATTCTGCCCGTCGGAGGGCCGTCCGGCTTGGGGGCGCACGCGGTTGGGTAAATATGGCCGTCGCGCAGACAGTCGCGCAATGCGGCGTGCGGGCCAGGATGTTGCCTCTGCGGCAGGAGGCATAAAGGGGACCGCAGATCACAACGTGATGACCCGATGACATGACTAGTCCATTGTCGGGAATCTGACCCTTTCTAACTTTGGAAAATGGGGACCACGATGATTGGGACGAGATGTATTGTGTCTTAGACTATGCGTTATACCTGTTGGTCTCAAGCCGCCCAATTGCACTGCCGCCGTTTGTGCCCAACAACGCGGGAACCCGCCGGTTGTCAGAGTACAAAGGGGGAGGGAAAGGCTAGCGACCGTTACAAACGGAGAGGGGTGTGCTCCAGCCCGGGTGCTACCCTGGGCCTTGGAAATCTCATGTTTCCCCCCTCAAGAATCCGGGTTTTTGGACAAAGCCAAACAAGGAACGTGGTGGAACGGCGGTCGGAATAATAAAAGAAAGCAGGGCAGAAAAAAAATTAATGGGAACAAATTCAGGGCCCGTTCGGACCTGGCGAACGGGGAACATCGGGGCCCCTTGTCCACCGTTACCCAGTGAGGCTGGCAGTCGCACTTGGTACAACAAACAAAACATGTGTTACGCATTCTGACTCGGGGGGTCATATCAATTGCAACGGCTCTTCTGATACAGAGCTGGATGTGGAACCACCAGCCGAATTGCTTTGTGAGACTTTAAGCTTGGGCTTGCGACATACAAAACGTGGTTTCGTCATTGCTGGTTTCTCCCGTAAACCTACCGGTCGAATATCTTTCCTGGATTCCTTGGGACATGAATCGCCGTTAGCGCATGGCACACTCTCAGGATCTGTGTCGACTCGTGCGGGTCAACCACTTACAAGATCCAGTTGGGGTCCAGGGTGCCCTTGATCAGCTTCTGCATGGCGGGAAAAGCAAAGGTCAGCCCGATCGCCGAGAGGGATGTCCCCAGCAACCCCCGCCTTCAGGGTCCAACACACCATAACGGTAATCGTATCATTTCCTACTTCGGACAACAGGGCGTCCTTCTTGCCCAAACCTATTCCATGCTCGCCCGTCGAGGTGCCGTCCATCTCCAACGCGCGCGCGACCATGTTTTTGACCGCAAGTTTGGCCTTGGCGGCTTCTTCAGGTATGGTCTTATTGTAGGTGATATTTTCGTGGAAATTGCTGTCGCCAATGTGACCTTTGATACAGGCGTTGAGGCCAAGTTTTTGCGCTTCGTCCTTGCTGGCCTCGACGATGTCGGCCAGCCGGCTGAGAGGAACGGCAACATCAGTGTTCCCTGCAATGTTGCTCTCGTGTCAGCCAACGCAGCATGAGCGGCAGCTATGAGCCCCCACCGGCATGCACGACAGTTTTTGTTTCTGGATAATTTCGATGCTGTGCAATTATGGCAAGTGGAGTGTGCGGAGTAAGTTTTGGGCAGAACGGAAAGGGGGCCGGGGGGAGGCACTTACACATCTCCTCACCCTCCTTTCGCATAGCTAGCAGAGAGTAAAGCGACTCCTTCCTGGCAGACCACAGAAGCTTCTGCTCACGCTCATCTTTAGCAAACTCGAAGACGTCAGGGCTGTAGGGCTCCACGATTCGCTGAACACTGCTGATGTTGTCGTTAACGGAAGTTTGTGTACCGGAGAATTTGAAGAATAGGGTTGGCTTTTCTTGCCAGACCCGTGGCCTCGTGGCACCGCCCTGGTTGACGATGCGCATCTGAGCTTCATCCATAAGCTCCAGAGCCGCGACTGGCACCCCGGCGCGTATGACGTCTGCTGCAGCTGAGACGGCCTGTCTGATGGTCGGGAAGGGAACGACTGCGACGGAGAAGTGGTGTGGGACAACGGCAAGCTTTAGAGTTGCTTCCGTGATGATCCCAAGGGTGCCCTCTGAGCCAACGAAGATGCCATTAAGATTGTACCCCGCAGAGCACTTTCTCGGGCGGCGCCGAGTCTTGATGACGGATCCATCTGCAAGGACGACCGTCAGGTTGATGACCCAGTCTCGCATCGTGCCGTAGCGTACAGCGTTTGTGCCAGAGCAGTTTGTGCCTATCATGCCTCCGATCTTGGCGCTTGGGGCTGAGAAGAGTCAAGGATTCAGTCTTATTGCCCGCATTGATGTTACCGTTACCTGGAGGATGGACTCTTACCGGGGTCGATGGGGAAGAACAGGCCGCTGTGTTGCTGGGCAAGCTGTTGATTGAGGTCCGTCCAACAAACGCTCGGTTGCACCACGATGTCCATGTCATCCTTGTTGAACTTCACGATCTTGTCCATGTGTGCAAAATCAATGCTTACGCCGCCAAAGGACGCTGTGATGTGACCCTCGACACTGCTGCCACCGCTGAAGGGGATAATGGGTACCCGCCACTTGTGGCAAATGCGAGCGATAGCACTGACTTGCTCCGTGCTTCGAGGGTAAGCCACAGCAACTGGTAGAGTGTCGAGGTTGATAGAAGACCACTCTGAGTAACCGTGAGCGAGGAGGTCTTCAGAATCAGTTGAGATGACGTCTTCTGTGTCACTCAGCTCCCGTCGGATTTCATCAATGGCCTTGTATGGGTCAGGTGTGACTGTATTACGATACTCAGAAACAAAGACTTACTTTGTACATGTCGTTGAACGTTGCATAGTTAACCGCCGGCAACCTGTCGTCGTGTAAAATCGCGTTTGATGTTGGTGACTTGTAGACACTCTTCGCGAGCGCGTACCCCAGAGTCGCTGTAGCTGTGGCTAACAAGAGAGACGCTGGGTTCAGCCAGCTTGTGCCACGGTTGTCATGGTTCGCGCTGCTAGATCTCTCCGTCTTATGGGTATTGAATCTGAAGGGATTATTACTCAGTAACCTTGTAGTCAGGAACCCGTTGTATGGGGCCCGTCTTGGGATAGGTCGAACGCAAGATCTGAGCAAGGACATGGCCCGTAAGCTGCAGCGTTAATTCAAAGGTGTCGTTTGTTTCCAATAGCAGGTGTATTCACTCTGTTGGTAGTGGCCCATATAAGGAGTGCCGTCAGGACGGGTCAGGGTGCCGGAATGCGGAGGCTGACCGGGTCAATTGCGGAGTGATGCGGGGGAGACTCGGCAGAACCTCATGATAACCAAGCAACCCCTCAGACTCGGTTTGAGAAACCGCTGTAACGGATCTCTCATCCGGGGCTGACATGCAAGCCAAGAACTGGGTTTGATTTCCCCAACGACAATATACGAGGGCATCGACCTCTCGGCTTACCCACAATTAGGGTCTCCATTCGGCAACCGTCACAACATGCAGATCATTGCAGTGTGGGCAAATCTCACGCAGCTTGAATACTCCAGTGAAAGGGCGGGATATAGAACCGAAGACGGTTATTCCCATCTAAGCCCGTCGCGTAGGACACCCGTGAACGCTTTATCTCGGCTCTCGATTCCATCTTTCCTTTTCCCCGGATGCAGGGCGAATGCGAGGTCGGGCAATTGTATCAATCCATAAACTGGGAGTCAAACCTTGCAGTCATGAGTGACGGCAGATTATTTAAATAGCCCCAGGGATATCTTATCTCGGCACCCGCCATCTTGGTCGATCAATGTTTCCTTTAATTGATTTTTACAACTGAGCTTTCGCCATTTCAGATTTTGCCATGTCAAGAAGATCCTCCAATGTGACATCGGAAAAGATGGGAAACGATGTTGACCCCGGAGCTGAAGAAATCGAAAACCGACCGCAAATTTTCAGCATTAACCCAGATGAAGAGACAAAGGTTGTCCGAAAGCTCGACGCCGTCATCATGCCCCTGATGGCCGTTGTGTACTTCTTTCAGTGTAACGAGTACAGCTTCATTGAATCGCTTTAGCAGACGCTAATCACTTCAGGTAGATCTCGACAAGCAGTCGATCAACCAGGCTGCCATTTTCGGACTTCGGGAGGATCTCCGCCTCACAGGAGAGCAGTTTTCCTGGGCTGTATCTCTTTTCTATCTCGGACAGCTGTGTTCAGAGTACCCTGCAGCTTTCTTGTTATCACGGCTGCCGATCGCTCTCTACGTTGGCATCACCATTGTTGTTTGGGGTGGAGTAAACATGTGCCTCGCGGCTGTGCATGACTTTGCAGGGCTTGCGGCCACAAGATTCTTCTTGGGTTTCACCGAAGGTGGGATTATTACTTCGACTTTTAATAGAATTCATCTAACGGGTTGAAGGTACTGTTTCGCCAGCTTTCATAATCATTACCAGCATTTGGTACAAGAGGAATGAGCACCCTATTCGAGTTGCGACCTGGGTCTCTATGAATGGAGTCTCCCAGATTGTTGGCGCACTCCTGATGTATGGTATTGGGCAAGGGAACCTACAACTCGCTGCTTGGCGCGCTCTCTTTCTCATCTGCGGGGCTTTGACATCTGCTGTCGGACTCATCTTCATCTTCATGATGCCTAGGGATACCACAACAGCCTGGTTCCTCAGCCCTCGCGAACGAGAAATTGCAACTCAGAGATTGGCAATTGATAGGGCCACTCGAGATCGTGCCGAGTTCAACAAAGCTCAAGTTCGCGAGGCTCTCATGTCGCCCATGACTTGGATCTACTGCTTGATTGCACTATGTATTACACTGACAACCCCAATCATCAAGGTACGAACGGCCCTTTGCCGCCCTTAAAACTCCCTTTCATGTGCAAAGTCACGTGTACTTACCAAATATTTTCGTTTTAGTTCAATGCCACTGTTATCAATGGCTTCGGCTACTCGAAATTTCAGACCATGTTGGTGGGCATGCCTGCGGGGGCAGTCAACACCACAACAGTGTGGGCCAGTGCCCTTATTCCACGCTGGCTTCCAGGAACGAGGGTTTATACTGGTATCGGGTTGTGCATCGTGCCCTTGCTTGGTGCAATTCTCCTGATGACTCTACCAGCCAAAGGTGCTGAGTGGGGTATTGTCGTCTCAACTTGGCTTGGTGGTTGCAGTTCAGCCCTGCTGAGTACTGGAGCAAGCATCATCGCAAGCAACGTCAAAGGAAATACCAAGAAAAGCATTGTGTCAGCAGCCTTTTTTGTGTCGTATGGCGTGGGCTGTATCGTGAGCCCACAAGCATGGACGCAGGACGATGCACCACGATACCGGAAAGGGTGTATTTTGAGCATTGCGGCGATGGTGTGTCTCATCTTGACGTTTGCTGGATACGTTGTCATTGTGAAAGCGAAGAACAAGAGTCGAGATGCCAAGGCTGATGTAGGGCAGTCTGAGTACTCAGCGGATATTTCGTGGAATAGTGACCAGGCTGGAGTAGACGTGGACTCCGACTTGACGGATGTTCAGGACAAAGGTTTCCGGTACACCATTTGATTTCTGTCTTGGAGGAAGTGTTTCAACCTATATATCGACGGCTATCCGTCGTAGTTTGATTGAGTCGATAGCAACAGATGACAATGCGTCTCAAATTGTCCATAGCCCGCCTCTTACCTGGTCCTGGTACCGAACGTAGATTTCACGAACACCAGTTTGCAGCCCTAACCCTACGGGAGGGACCTTTTTTGTCATCCGCTGGTTTCAAGGTTTATTTTGAAAACAATTTTGAGATGTGAGAACCTCGATGGGTCTGTCTATACCTACGCACGAAAAAGCTTTTGGTGTCCATCCCCCTCCATGCATCCCTCGTCATCAAATCACCATCGGATCAATTGTGCTCACTCACGTACTGTTTTCGCCGCAGATTATTTCTCGCCAACCCACTGTCATCTTTTGGAAAGATGGATATCATCGGAACGGCAAAGACGCTGATCCGCAAGATCAGGCCCAAGAACGAGAGGCGCCGCAGCATTCCAGAAACGAAGGCCATGTATAGATGCATCGACCCTCCGAGTGACGCACCACAGAGATACCCCGCTCATACAATCGTCGAGACCACCAAGTATGCGGAGGATCGCCATGTCTCTACCGTCTACTCACTAGCCGGCTATACTCCGATGCGGATGGACAAGAGGTGGGATCAAGGCAAATCTCAGCCCGCCGTCGATGTTTTGATGGTCGAGGATAAAGACAAGTCAGCGATTGACGGAAAAGCTCGTTTTACTTGTCATTAAATCACAATACAGCATCCCGCCTTGATAGAGATCTTGGGACTGATACTGGAGAACGAAGGCTTCCATCTTGACGACGATGGCCCAATCGTTTTCTATCCACCCTTCCGCCCATTGTACTTCTGCTACGAGGAGATGGTTGGTCTGCGCGAAAGTACGGATGATGGCTCGTTGAAAAGATATCTGGGAAACCTGATTAGCACGCTTGACGATGTACTTGGAGAGATGCGAAAGCAATCACATCAACTCAAAGCCAGCGGGCTAGTCAACTTCGATCTCGCATGGACCTATTTCCCCAACGGTACTATGGTACGCAGCAGCGACTGCAACACCAAAATGGTCTTCAGGGTTGTGGGTACTTCGTACAAGAGGTCGGAATCTGGCACAGCCCTCGTCATCTACGGCGAAGCGCTCAGATTTGATGGAGAGTCCTTCGTCTGGATGGTCCACGAGATTTCCATCCATGAGTTCTCCGGGAACAAGCCAATTCGTAGACTGGAATGTTATCCAACCGAGTTTCATCACGACCCGAAATTGTGCGCCGACGGTTGCTGGAGAGGGGCAAAAAGGGGCTGGGCCTCGGCGTGGAATGTTGCACATACAAAGGCGTCGAGATTGCTGGCATGGACGAGGTGAAGCACAATGTTGATGGCTCCATTCTTGTCGACGTTGCTAGATTCAATAAGCCTCAGATAAGCGACAATGGACATGAGCGATGCACGAATCGACCGATGATACCGCACATAAATGAGCTAGACAACAAGGACGGTATTCACCTTAGGAAGAAGGGGCAGAACAATAACAACCGACGGCCATGATTAAGGGCTGCTTTGAGGAATAAGTTATCGTGGCTGAATTGAAGGGAGATTAAGAACGTCGTCAGAGTGGCCAGGACATGGTGCTATTACGACAGTTAAGTGATGGACCTGGAGAGACTCGAGACGGGCATCTTAGTGACTATTCGGAAGTCACAAAGCTTGACGACTCCTTGGATATCGATAAAAATGAACAACGAAAGGATGAATGAACAGTCAAAATCTGACATACGGAGTAGGAGTATGGTTATTTAGTTTTTAGTGCGAGTGGTCCGCAGTTGTCCGTTGTTTGCGTTGCCGAATTCAAAAAGCAGAACTCAAAGATTTATGATAAATACACTCCGTTGCGTTGACAGCGTCCGCCCTGCAATTTGTGGCCCGAAAAGGGCAAAAAAAAGGGGCTTTTCGCTGAAAAACCACTAAATCGCCCTAAACTTTGCACACTAATAACTCTATGCGTACGTAATGCGCATAGATAGAATTTTAATTAATTAGTCTACTAGTTAAGGGCTATCTAATGATATATTTTTTATTCTCACGTATTATGTACGTATAGAGTTAGTAAGGTGTGAAGTTTAGGGTGATTTTGAGGGGTTTTTTAAGTGGATAGTTCAACGTAACGCGCTAGGGGTTTCGTTTTTTCTTTTTAGCGTTGCGTTTAGTGTCCGCTAGCCTAAAAACCCCCTAAATCACCCTAAACTTCATACCTTAATAACTCTATGCGTACGTAATGCGTATAGCTAGAAATTTGACTAATTAGTCTACTAGTTAAGGGCTATCTAATGATGTATTTTTTATTCTCACGCACTGCGTACGCATAGAGTTGTTAAGGTGTGAAGTTTAGGGTGATTTAGGGGGTTTTTGGGCTAGCGGAAAATTTTCCTTCCGGGTCAAAGTCGGGGGCGGACGCCGTCAACGCAACGGAGTGTATGCATGCTGAGCGAGAGTCTCTCCAGCGAAGGCTCATGACGTCGCGTATCGTCCCAGAAGGGAAGTTTCCCAAAGCTCGTAGCCCCTACCAGCCCCAATTTTTAGCGCCTCTAAGCCTTCCGCCCCACTGCTCGCGACTTTCCGACATCGTCCCATCGACAACAGTCCCACGGATGCGTCTCCCTTTCACACAAAAACAAACCACAACACCCGCTTCCCCAGACTGATCTGAACTGCAATCGCTCCTTGGCGCACGGCGGAGCTTGAGAAAGCCTTCCAAACATGGACGTTGGCTCGGAACCGACACCCCGACGAGGAACCCGCAAACCGTCCAGCCCGCCCGCCAGTGCCCCGGCCGCGAGACGCTTCCGTTCGGCTTCTCAAGCCGAGGCTGCTCGCACGTCCAATGCGTGCCAAATTTGCCGCGACAAGAAAGTGAAGTGCTCGGGGCAACGGCCATGCAAGTATTGTGCCAAGCGCGGGCTGACTTGTGTGTTTGCGGCGTCGGAGAAGAGGAAGCTGTATTCCGTATCGTGAGTCCCTTTGCCCCGTTGCAATGCCCCATCAAGTATGAAGCGCTTCGATACAAGAGACTAGGCTGATTTGAACTTGAATGAATTAGACAAGTCAGGGAGCTTGAAGACAAAGTCGCCTTCTATGAACGACAAAACCGAGAAAAGTCGGCCCCGGGAACGGCATCGCCACAGCCGGCATCGCCTGGGTGGCATATGCCTCCAGACGAAGCGGTGGAAACGCCTAATGTCCCGCGTGGGGGTCCGCAAGAAGAGTCTTGCATCTCAGTCAGCCTGCTTTCTCCTGAGGATCTTCCGCCCCCATTGTCTCAGCCCACATTCTCCCCCACGTTTGAGAGGATACGAGCCGTGGATGTCTTGCCCGCGTCCACGTCCTCGCCTGTGCGTACTGCAAGGGGTAAGTGGGCCCGTCAGAATTGTCTTTTTACACAACTTGTCGACCTCGGATACTGACTCCGACAGCCATTGCTCCGGAATCAGCGCTCTCTTCTTCCGAGACGTTCGGCTCCGAAATCAAGACGCTTCTTGTTTCCCGCTCGAACCCGGGCTCCGCTGCAAGTCCGTCAACGAACACTGGCGTAACCCCACTGCCGCACATTGACCGTCGCGGTCTACTTGAGGCTATTGGTCCCTGGCTCACCGAAGAGGAGGCACATGCGATGTTGGACACTGTCGTCTTCAATGTGGGCATCTCGCAGCAATTATTCGACGTACGAGCGTTCTCGGATAACCTCTCCGTGCTGTACCAAGAAACCAGCGCAAATGTGAGGCTTACTGAGATATGGATTGTGGAAGCCCTTTTGATCTTTGCTGTGGGTAGGTTACTCCAAAGTATAGATGATGAGAATGGGGATCTTCCAGGGACGAGGTTCTTTCAGGAGGCGGTCAAGCGGACTCCATTATTGAGTGATTTGAGGAAGCATGGTATCGTTGGAGTCGAGGTGATGGCTTTAACAGCCCTTTACCTTCAAATTGCGGACCGGAAAGATGATGCCTACTTGCACGTGAGTTAACGAAACATTAGGCTTCGCAGATACAATCACTAACGATAGGCCATCGTAGTCTAACACAGCGCTGAGGCTCGCCATCAGCCATGGCATGCACAGGGTAAATTCAGCGCCAGGTCTGAAGCGGTCGGATAACGTGCATCGTAATAGGCTTTGGTGGTCTATTTACATGCAGGAAAGGTGTGTTCCAACTTTGAGTCGAGTAGAGATTGCTTGGCTGAGAATGTCTCAGGAGACTATGCGCAGCTGGTGGATATCCCATGTCTATTGAAGACTACGCCATTACCACAGCCCCGCCATACGAAATCCTCGGCTTTCCATCGGCAACAGCATTGGGTGTCAACGTCAAGACCGCGAGATTGACTGGGCAAATCACGTCAAGTATATCCCTCTGAAGCCAGTCAGGGGTCAGGGTCTCGGTACTAATTAGCTGGTAGCCATCTACTCTCAGAAAGACGACCCCGAGACAACGTTCATCAACAAGGTTCAGAATATCCTTCACTCCCTCTACGAAGTCGAGAAGACGATGCCGTCCGAGTACGTCATGGAGATCAGGCCAGCAGGCGTACTCGTCGCTGGGCGTCCATTCATGGACGCACCAACCACAACTTCAAGGACCAGTTCGAGTTTGTATACATCAGTTTATATGGTGAGAGACCTTGAAATACATGGCCAGGTACCTATCCGACTGACTATGTCAGGCGGTCATACATACCGTGAGACCCATTCTGCTGTATATGGCCCGCAACAGTCGGGATCCAGAACGCGAAAACGCTCGGAACGAAGTCAGCCCAGCTTTAGTACGCCTCGCTGAGATATGTGTCGAGACAGCCAGTAAGACTCTCGTCATTCTACAGGAACTCCGAAAGAAAGAGATTTTAGCAAAGAACGCTTTCCACGATCTGGATGCCACGTTCTCAGTGGGATACATCTTTGTGCTGGTCGAGGCTATCAACCCTAGGAAGAATCTAGGTTTCAAAGGCATTGACGGGTCCAGATCTATCCTCAGATACTTAGTCGGTCTGGGGAACCGCGCAGCGGCGAACCGGCTTGCTGAGCTGGACCAAATGTGTGTGCACCTAGCGTTACCTGTGCAGCAAGGGACAGGGCAAACACCCCAGCAGTCATTGACGGACATGTTGGCAAAGCCGTTCTCGTTCGAGAGCGGGTATGGGGTTGTTGAGCAAACCACAGCTTCACTAAATGCCATGGAGAGGCCGCGTTCGCGATCCGGAGATGTGGGCGGGGCTGAGGCCTGTGGTGAGGATGATCAGCAGAGCTTTGGATTCAGCGGCGCGGATTTGGCCAGTATTCCTTTGGAAGGGGAGAACAGCTTGTACTGGGTCTATCATACACCTGGCTTCTCGTTTACTGGGGTTGAGCAGACGGATTGGGAGGCGTTAGAGAACCAGATTCCATGGGGGAATCAGCCATAGAGTTGGGAGTCCACATGCATATTTTGCTCTGAGTACCTTATTAGGCAATGTTCGACATATCGACTTACCAGATAAAGGTTGAAAAGTCTTAAGATTCTGAGGTTCTGAAAACATTAGAAGACATTTGACGTATGGATGTGCGTAGTGCCTACCTAGCGCAGATACCTTTAGGGCCTTATTAGCCCGCACTCGAAAGCATGCATGACCAACAAGCAAAACCTTTGAACTCAATTTCCTTGTATTCGCTACATAGCTCTACGTTTGGTTCTGATCTTGGATGTACGTGCCAAGAAACTGAGGTTTTCATCCTGGTTTGCTCTCCGCCACTCATCATGAGCTAATAATAGCTCTTTATTGGTACTTTTGGAACGCATTTCCGGCATACTTCTTTCGAAGGAGGCTTGTTACCCTAGGCGACCCCAGTGTATTATTCCTCTTCCCGGCGAAGATGACCTCTTTCGTGATTTGAACCTCGTCCCCAAACGTTTCAACTAGCATATCCATCATCTCCTCCCCAGCTTGCGCATTTCGAACGATGGCTAAACTAAGTTCCTCTGTGAGCTCAAAACTCATTGGACAATAAATTAAGAGGTATCTCATCACCGCCTCTGAATTGTTCTCGGCCGCAGCCATAATAACCTCTTGCGTTATCTCGACTTCACTCCCACGCTTCTCCAATAAGAGCCCCAGGATAGCCACACCACAAAATGCATTCTGAGCTGCGTTCATGACAGTCCCTGGGGTGATCTTTAATTCTTTCCCCAGCCTGTTTAGAAGGACTGCTACGGTCTCTGAAGGTCTCTCGGTGCAGCCAGATGCTGCATTCTCTATCAGTTTCGGTGTGACACTGAAACGATGCCCGCACTTTTCTAAGAGAAGCATTATTATCAGGTGTCCACACACTCTATTGAGAAATGCATTTTCCAAAACACCATCTGTAATGACAATGTTACCCCGATGGTTGTCGAGAAGTTTGGCGATAATGAAGTATCCGTACTCCTTATTAAGAGCTGCGTTTTCTAATGTTTTCTCAGTGACGATACATTCCTCTCGACGCTCGTTTAAGAGTTGGGCAATGATCACGAGCCCATGTTTGTTGTTGGTCGCTGCGCTCGCAAGTATTCCCTCGGTGATTTTGAATTCGTTTCCGTATCTCTCCAACAGGAAAGTGACAATATCACGTCCATCATCAGTTTTGGCGGCTGCAGCAGCAACAACATCCGCGGTGATTTCAACTTCCTTGCCGTATGTCTCTTTCAAAGAAGTTATTGATTTCCGAAAGCTGCTATAGCTTACTGAAGCTATAACAAGCTCCTCAGTGATTTTGCTGCCGTTACTCAGGAGATAGTCTATTACCTCTGGATGAACCTCGACAACAGCGGCTAGGAGAGCTGTGCGAAAGTGGCCACACCCAGCATCACAATCTGCGCCGTGAGAAATGAGGGTTTTGACAAGTTTGAGGTGACCCCTCGCAGCCCCGGCCTTGATGGCTGTGCCGAAATACCCTCCCTCTGAGTTGACGTCGACGTTTTCTTCGTTGATGATGTATTCAACCACTTCTAGCAGATTGAAATAGCTTGCAAGTGTCAAATCTGCCACTGGCGCAGGAAGCGGGGGGAATCCGTAAGATTGCAAGTACCTAGCCCAAGCCGGTAGTTGCCTGGATTGCGTACGACAAAGCTCACGGGTGGCTTTACAAAGGGTTTCTCTGCTGTCATCATCCTGGGAGTTGAAGTGTATCGTCCAGTTCTCAGCAGCGTATCTCCAGAAATTCGGGCCCGGAGGGAAGGTGTGCACATCAATATCGAGGCCATCCAATGATAACATACGGATACATGAGGTGAACATTGTTCTGTGTGCGGAATACATATCGAAAGTTCCCATCCACTTTTTTGACTGTGTAGGTGTTGTAAGAAACTCCTGGGCCGTTTGGTGAATAAAGACCACCCGATGGTCAATCACGGTGATGAAGAGACCACAGAGGTTTCTCACCACGGATTTGAAGCTTTCGTGATCCCAAACATCATCCTCGATTTCAGCAATGTTTCCAAAGCTCTTAGCTTGTAATGTTAGGGAGTAGTTGACCTCGCCTAGCGTCAGAGGTTTTGTAGCAGCAAGCATAATGTTAAGCAGATGCCTCGCCTTCTTTTCATCTTGACTGCGTGCCAGAATTGTTTCGTAAGCATCAAAAACGGAAGGTGGAAGACAAGAAAGTAGCTCCTCGATATCCGAGGGCTTGCTGTACGCGCTCCGGCTTCCGTTGATGATACCGAGTATTAGACGAAGATACAGATAGTTGCAGTTCTTCATATCTTTTAGGGCATCTGAAATCCTCCGGCGAGCCTGTTCACGAAAGCCTTTCGCAAAATCGTTAACCTTGTGGTCGATGAAAAGGTTAATTTCCTGACGTATCTCTTCGGACTTGTCGTCACCGTCAAGTCGGCAGTAAAACTCGGCAGACGCCATTTCCGCAAAGCGCGCCTCCAGAAAGTCATATGGCCGGCTTGTAATGAGGAACTTGAGTCTTGATGGTGATGCATGGACCTGATTGTTGAAATAGAAGTTCTGGAGCATTTGCAATATCTCTTCCCAGCCTTCGTGGCTGCATTCGTCCAAGGCATCAAGCACACAGACAATTTCTCCAGCTGCAGGATCGCTTGCACATTCTAGTAGGATCCTCCAGAGCTCATGGAAGTTGTTTCGTAGCTTGTCTCCATAATTGCTATAAGGCTCAGTCGAGTGGTGGATAAGAGACCGGTTTTGGGTGAAAAGCTGATGCAAGATTGCAGACAGAGCGTCGTGACTGTTGATGCGATTCACATCGTCGAATTTAAAAAAGAAGTAGCAGACTGTCGTGGGGTTTGTCGATAGTCGTCCACCGTCGATCAAAGACCGTGTTAGTACAGACTTGCCACAACCTGGGCCGGCGGAGATCCAGATGATGCTTGACGCAGTGCTCTGAAGCCATTTCTGATACTTCTGGTCCTTGAAGAACCATTCACATGTTCCGTCATGCTTTCGAGGGTTGAAATTCTTGTATTTTTCGTGTTCCGTAGCCAGAAGTTCAAGCAATTTCATGTCATTCTCGTTAGGTTCTCGGCGATGAGCAGAGCCTGAGGCTAAGTCAGCAGTTACAATATCCTTAGGACGAGTTTCTCACGTTGGGCTGCGTCATCTATGCGCGGAAAACCTTCTAGAATCGCTCTCGCTGCGGCGGCTGCTCTTGCTGCAGCAAAATGCTGGAAGTCCTTGTTTTTGTGGCTGTCTGCGTAGTCACAGACCGCCTTGACGATAAGGCACGGGAACCGATCCCATACGCCGGCCCCCTCCATCTCAAAGGCGACAAGAGGTGGTTTTTGCGCTTTAGCAATCCGGTCGCGATCCAACCCGGACTTCATCACGGTATCGCCTGATCCTAAGCGTCCAACAACAATTTGAAGTTCATGGGCTATCGTGCCGTCGTATTTTCGCTTTGTGAGGCGACGCCTGGAAACCAGTCGTGACAAGTCGCACCCTAGGTCCCGGCACGATGTACCCAGGGCTACGTCGCACACTGTGTGTTCAGAGCACTCACACGGATGGTGATTGGGGTGCCTATGGAGATATTGCGGCTCAAAGAGCAAATCCGCCTCAGGTTTAGGCTGTGTGTACCGACATTTTCTGTCGCCGGCCTTCTCTTGGATGCTCTGGAGTATTTCAGCTGTCCGCTGCTGCAGCTTTTCGCGTCCCCGGTCCGTCTCAAGTACCGCCGTAACGGAACGAACGCTCTCGTGAGGCCTCCCCAGGCTGTCTTCAATGGTACCTTTGATGACGAAGTTGCTGGGTTGCTGCTTCCCTAGGTCATACTGTACGATGCTCTTACTAATCACCACATCCCCGAGCAAAAGTTCTTTATCGGTTCCGATTTCCGGTACACCTCCACAAATGCCTACCAGGATGGCAAGCTTTATGCCAGTATAACTCAATCGGAGCCTGTTCGCTGCGCTTGCTGCATCGACCTTTCCCATGCCCGGAAGGAGAAGCACGACGATGTTGTGGTTTGCTATTCGGCCAACGGTATATTTGTTGTAGTCCTCGGGTGCATTTCCCAGCTGTACTTCCTCTCCATCCCATATATGATCGAGAGCAAAAGCGACAGCTTCGTACTCGCAGCCGACAGCGCAGATAAATGCGATCTGGAAGTCCTCACGCCGGAGACCTGGAGGTGGGGTAGCCATGTCAAATCATGGACGGTCCGTCAAGGTAAATAGGGGTTTTTCGCTAAGGTAGCTCCTATCAACAAAGGAATCGAGGAGGACAAACTTGCTTTGTGAATACTTCCGGTGATTGGGATGCGACTAAATCGCTGACTGCCTGACTTCGTGTCTGTCAGAAAAACAGGCTGGCGCTTCACCAAGGACTCTTATTGGCCAGATAGGTACTTGGTCACCATGCCGCTCACCAATCCTGATCAACATCTGATATGATGATGGCACGGCATTTAAATTTTTCCGTTGCCTTCTGTATTCACAGCAATCCTAAACCCCGAAAAGTCGCGTGGCGCGCTAGTTGCATTTGACAGTTGTTTGGTTCTCAGACGTGACTTTCTTTGTTGACTGCACAAGATTCTTTCCCTATCCATGTCTTCATGCGACGAGTAAGTCTATTGGGTCTAAATCCCTGTGCAAAAAGTCCGTCTTGATTTTTCGGATGCTGATACCCCCCAAACACTGCCTGCGTCACGTTTGGGTGACTTGCCGGTTGTCGCACCACCTGCAACTTGGAACTAATCTGATTATTCACTACGTCACTGGTTAGATAGCAATGACCGCCGACGTAAAGGTCATATTCCTATCCAAGGATAATTCGCATTAAGTGTCTCACTAAATTCATCGAATACATGGAATGTCTATCTGCGATCTCTCTCCGATGCTCTAGTTGCACGTGGGACGGGAATGGAGAGCCAGAGCGCAAGCGAGCAAAGGCCAGAGGACCTTTACAATATCAATTAGGCAAAGCTCTAAAGAAGATGAGGTTTGATTCGAAAGGACGTGACGCTCGGCCCGACACCCTCGATACAGGGTTGGCGGCCGGCATGTCGTGAGGCCAGCGGCACATAATGCCAGGCATCGAATTGAGGAGCATTCGCTAAAGCCATTCGCGGCTACTCACATAAATGTCTACTTCCTGTCTACAAGGAAATGTTCCTGTGCCTACTTTTTGGGTTAAATAGAGATATTGATATTCCACCTTTGTCACAGTGAATGGGCTCACCTCTCACCTCCTCGGATGTTGTCACCGAAACGAACCATTTGCTAGGATTAGCTTCGGCTTCAACAAGCGACATCTGTCCCAAAACGTCCTTGTGATTTATCCCAGAGAAACCAAGCGACTAAGACTCGTGCCAATTCTTGTCTAGTTCCGGGGGCGCGGCTACTTCCCCGGATGTGCGGAGAGACCTGGGGCAAGCCCCCGCGTTGCACAAATCCGGGGTTTAGGGGTCTCCGAACTCGTCAAATTGCCGTTTTGTCTATGACCCGCGCAAGCAACTCTGTTGAGGTATATAACAGGTTCAACTCTTTCAAACGCTGAACTTTGGTTGTCACACCTCCCAGGTTTCGTTGGTGAGGACGTCGTTGAAACTTACCTGAAGCCGCGCACCCTGAAGTCTCGAGTATCCAACCAAAACAATCAACCTTTGGAACGACACAATTCAAACCTTCAACTCCGACGACACTATGGCAACCAAGCCGGACAATGCACAGCTCGCCGCAACGGCCGAGGAGCTCGAGATGACGAAGAAACAAGATGAAGAGCACGTCGCGTTTGAGCAAATCAGCCCCGAGGAAGAACGCGCTCTCGTGCGAAAGCTCGACAGAGTTCTAATGCCTCTCATGGCTTTTGTCTATTTCTTCCAATGTACTATGCCTACCACCAAATACCTTCCCCATCAGATACGCTAACCTTAACTCCCTCCAGACCTCGACAAACAATCCATCAACTACGCCTCCGTCTTCGGCCTCCGCAAAGACCTCCGCCTCACAGGCCAAGACTTCTCCTGGGTCATCTCCCTCTTCTACTTCGGCCAGCTCTGCTCCGAATACCCCGCCGCGTACCTCATGTCCCGGCTCCCCATCACCCTCTTCGTCGGCGTGACAATCATAATCTGGGGCGGCGTCGAAATGACCCTCGGCGCGACCCGCGACTTTCACACCCTCGCCGCCGCGCGCTTCTTCCTCGGTTTCGCGGAGGGCGCCGTCTCTCCGGCCTTCATCATCATCACGTCCAACTGGTACCGCCGCCGCGAGCACCCGATCCGCGTCGCGACGTGGGTGTCCATGTCGGGCGTGAGCCAGATCCTTGGGGCGCTGATGATGTACGGCATCGGCGGCGCGAAGGAGATGGTCATCGAGAAGTGGAGGGCGATGTTTTTGCTTAGTGGAGGGCTGACGGCGGCGTGTGGTGTGGTGTTTTGCGTGCTGATGCCGAGGGATACGACGACGGCGTGGTTTTTGAATGAGAGGGAGAGGAAGGTGGCGACGTTGCGGTTGGCGGTTGACCGTGGCACGAGGGATCGGGCGGAGTTTAATGGGAAGCAGCTGACGGAGGCGCTGAAGCAGCCGATGGTGTGGATGTATTTCATGATGGCGCTTTGCATCACGTTGACGACGCCTATTCTGAAGGTACGTTTAGTGATTCCCGGGGTAAGAGTCGTTGCTGACCCTGAACAGTTCTCATCGCTTGTCGTCAACGGATTTGGGTACTCACCCTTCCAGACCATGCTGGTTGGTCTTCCCGGAGGCGCCATCAGCTTCGTCACGATCTGGGTAGCTGCCCTAGTTCCAAGGTTCTTTCCCGGCACCCGAGTCTACACCTCCATGGGTTTGTGTCTGGTCCCTTTGCTAGGTTCTACCATGCTGCTTGCGCTTCCGGCGAAAGGTTACGAATGGGGCATCGTGGCGAGCACTTGGCTCGCCGCCTGCTGCAGCTCACTCCTCAGCTCATCGGCGGCTATGATGGCGTCAAACGTTAAGGGCAACACCAAGAAGAGCGTGGTTAGTGCGGGCTTCTTCATCGTGTACTGCATCGGATGCATCGTCTCCCCGCAGGCGTGGACGGAGTCAGATGCGCCCAGGTACACCAAGGGCTGCATCCTTAGTATCGCTAGCTGGGTGGCGTTGATTGTGACGTACGCGGTGTATGGGTTCGCGATCAAGAAGGAGAATGCCAAGAGAGACAGACTTGCTGGTGAGGGGCGTTATGAGTACATGGTTGGCGGACATGATGGAGGCGAACAGGCGGTGCAGATGGGCGTTGCTGTCGATTCTGACTTGACGGATGTGCAGGACAAGGCGTTCAGGTACAACTTGTAGACTCCATGAGGGACCCTCGAGTGAGGATATTGAGATTCCGTGGTAAGTGAGTTTCTATACAGGAGAGACCAACTCGTAATGATTCCGTGACAGTTTTTCAATCCAACTTCTTGCGTCAATTGAAGCTATTGTCCAAACATTCTAGTGTGGTTTTCTCACAAAACTTTGACCGTGATCCTCAGCGAAGGCATGGTCTCCTGTTTTATTTGATCCCACCTCAGCAGAATATTGCATCGACCAGACAGTGGAAGATGTGTCAAACTGCCTTTATAAAAAAGAAAAAGGAACTCAACGATTAGAAAACATGCCTGAATCACGCCTTGGCGCAGAGGTGACGAACATCTTCAGCGTCGTGGTCAAGTTCGTGTTGATCACAACAATTCGTCAAATCGGATGCATCCGATACAGGCACAAAAAGTAAGCGTCGGATGTTGCGGCCGAAACCCATCTTTGACCAAAAACGTGCTGAGGACCCGCTAATGATTGATGACTAAGACGCAAAAACTCCACCGCGTACAAACGATTTACCGAAGATAAACAACAACAGGGGAGATCAGCTTAGGGGTCGGAGGGTAAGAAGCCGTCTGGCCGGGTAAGGGATGAGTAAGAGAAGCCGAAAACCCCTGCAGGTCGGCGGGCGTGACGACGGGGCGGTACGTACCCTGGCTCCGGCCGCTGTCAAAATCTCGGAAGCGAACAGGCGATTGGCCAATGACGCAACGTCTTTTGAAAGCAGGGACCAGCCGGCGCCACGGAGCTTCCGATTTCTTCCCACAACGGCGGGCTGCTTTAAGGAAATGCAACATTCTTGAAGTAAACAGAGAGAGAGAATAGGAGTAAAAGAAGCAAATGATATCTGTGGTAGATGATTATTAATGGTGCAAAAACGTAGAGTTGATTCGTGAAATGATAGACGTCGTATTTGTGGTCACAAGGACCTTAAAGCTTGGCACTGCTATGTTTAGCAGGGTCACCAGGTCCCAAAACAGTTCAGGTAGGAAGGAGCTACCCCCAGTAAAGCGGCGGCGCATTGTGTCACCCGTCACGGCAGAGCTCTTTGCCCAATTTTGCCTCGCCAATTTTGCTTCGTTTTTCGCAACACAGTCACCAACACGTTCAACACCTCTCCCAACCCGCCCTTCGATGCACCCCTGATCTTGAGGAGTCGCTCGTTCAACCTTCAACCTCCAAGATGATGCGCTCCCAGCTCCAGACCGCCGGCCGCCTGGCCAGGCCCTCCACGACGTCGAGAATCGCCGGCGCAGCCCGCCTTCACATCTCCCCCAACGTCGCCTCAAAAACGACCACCATCCGATCCATCGCCACGAAAACGATACCCCGAGCTTCCTACCCTGCTCTGACCTCGTCGCAATACCGCTCCTTCTCCTCCACCCGCATCCAGCATGGCGAGATGACCATCGTCGTCCCTCCCATGGCCGAGTCCATCACCGAGGGCACCATTGCCTCTTTGTCGAAGCAGGTCGGTGACCGTGTCGAGGTCGACGAGGAGGTTGCTAGCATCGAGACCGACAAGATCGACGTTGCCGTCAACGCCTCCGAGGAGGGAACCATTGTCGAGTTCTTCGTTGCTGAGGGCGACACCGTCGAGGTTGGACAGAAGCTCGCGCGTGTCGAGACCGGCGCCGCCCCTGAGGGCGAGAAGCCCGTGCCCAAGAAGGAGGAGCCCAAGCCCGAGGCCAGCAAGCCTGCCGAGTCCTCTGAGGCAGCTCCCGCTCCCGCCCAGGAGCAGAAGAAGGAGCCCGAGGCTCCCAAGAAGGAGGAGAGCAAGCCCGCTCCCGCTCCTAAGCAGGAGAAGAAGCCCGCCGAGTCTGCTCCCGCGCCCCAGGCTGCCCCCTTCGGCGCCGCCGGCCTCTTCTCCCGCGGCGAGCGTGTTGAGAAGATGACGCGCATGCGCAAGACCATCGCCGCCAAGCTCAAGCAGTCCCAGAACATGACCGCTTCCCTGACCACCATCAACGAGGTCGACATGTCCGCCCTGATGGAGTGGCGTGCGCGCAACAAGGAGGACGTCATGAAGCGCCACGGCGTCAGGCTCGGATACATGGGTGCCTTCACCAAGGCCACCTGCCTGGCTGCCCAGCAGGTCCCCCAGCTCAACGCTTCCATCGACACCGATAAGGAGGTCATCACCTACCGTGACTACGTCGACATCAGCATCGCCGTGTCTGCCCCCAAGGGTCTGATCACTCCTGTGCTGCGCAACGTCGAGAGCCTCGACATTATCGGCATTGAGCGCGGCGTTGCTGAGCTCGCTGCCAAGGTAAGCCCCCTGCACTCACACTCGTTGACATGACAAGTCGCTAACAAACCGATCACAGGCTCGCGATGGCAAGCTCACCATGCCCGACCTCGAGGGCGGAAACTTCTCCATCTCCAACCCCGGCATCTTCGGCTCCCTCTTCGGCACCCCCGTCATCAACTACCCCCAGGCCGCCGTCTTCAACATGAACGGAATCAAGGAGCGCCCCGTCGTCGTCAACGGCAAGCTCGAGATCCGCCCCATGATGTACATCACCGTCACCTACGACCACCGCCTCATCGACGGCCGCGAGGCCGTCACCTTCCTGAATGTCGTCAAGAGCTACATAGAGGACCCCGCCAGACTCCTCCTGGCCTAATCTGCTGCGTATAGAAGCCAGGGGAGTAGGTACATAGCACAGCAGCTGGTGAGGGGAGGCTGGCTGGCTGCGCGTCCCGTGTTATATCTGTAAACTTTTCTTTGTACCTGGGCGGGATAGCATTGCCTGGCATTGGCATCGGAGAGGCGTACACTGCTGCATCATAGAAGGTCTGGTCGTAGATAATTGGAAGAATCCAATGCCCAGCGTTGTCCTGGTTCAGGCCCATTTCCCGCTGTTTCCCGAATACACTGGCACAGTTGAACTGTGGTACAAGTTCGGTTTCCAAAGTGCACCATCCATATGCCCCTACTGTGCTGCCCACTCCAATGCCCCCACATGTATGCCAAGTAAGGATTGGGGTCATTCTTCAATGCGGGGAGGTTTTGCGCCTCAATTTGACTTGCCCCCTCCGCCTCCGCGCCGGGCATAGTCCTGGTGTGGCGGGAACTGGTCCCGGTGGACCGCAAGTCTCGGCTCCAACATCCGGGGACCACATCTTACACCAACATCAGATAACGCCTAGCGATCAATGTATGGGGAAGTATGAAAGCCGAAGAGTATTGGGGAACTTATCAGATTCGCATTCAGCCTCGGTCACTAACATTTCAAGTAGCCGACCTCAGTCTGCTTATCGGTCCGTCCTGCGAAATGTCACTGGCAATTCCTGGGAGCTAGATCTTTCCCGGCGAGTAGCAGCGTCTACCAACCTCGCCACTGAAGCTTTCGAACGCTTTCATATTCATCTATGGGACTATCGTGCTCTTGATATCTGGTTGGCTTGGAGATCGATCCATGATTCCTCCTTGGATCTGGGAGAAAGAAAAGCCCAAAACTCTCAGGTGACCTCATCGTGTCTCCTAACTTACACATTTTGAGCATCTGTCACCATGCTCCGGTCTTTCAGACCGGCCTCGCGATGCGGGGCCGTCAAGGCGCTCGCAGCGCCTCAAAGTAGAACCTCAGCCTGCGCGGGGCGCCATCACCAGTCACGAATGAGCCTGGTCCCCAAGTTACAACAAGCATGCTTTTCCAGCGGAGCATACGCCCTTTCGCCCGTGAAGAGCAGGTCATATGCTACGGCAGCTGAAGCTGTCGACCTCAGCGCGCCTCCTGTAAGACTATCACCCATAACATGACGGTATCTTGACGCATTACTGACGGGAATTGGTCTCCAGAGCCCCATCGACTCCTTTCTTCAAGGCGGCGCGGCTAACTACGTCGACGAGATGTATCTAGCATGGAAGGCCAACCCCAAAGACGTCCACGTCTCCTGGCAGACTTACTTCCGCAACATGGAGGACCCCACGGTGCCGTCGACGCAGGCGTTCAGACCCCCACCAGGCTTGATGTCAAGTCGGTACACAGGAGATACGCCGGTCATCCACGTGGCAGAAACAAGCGATGCGGTAAACTACCTCAAAGCCCAAAACATTGTACGCGCGTTCCAAGAATACGGCCACACCAAAGCAAAGATCACCCCCCTGGAAGACGTTGGCAACGCCACAGTCCACCCTCACCCAGACCTTCCCAACTCCTCAAACCTCAGCAAGTACGGCTTCACCACAGCAGAACTCGAGCGCGAAATCCCTCTCGGACCAGACCTCCTCCCACACCTTGCCAGCAGTACCAAAACCATGCCCCTCCGCGACATCATCACCACCTGCGAGAAGATCTACTCCGGCTCCTTCGGCGTCGAGTACCACCACATCTCCGACCCCACCAAGCGCGCCTGGATCCGCCAGAGAGTCGAGACATACCACGCCTCTCCTCCCTCCCCCGCCGAGAAGCAACGCATCCTCGACACCCTCATCTGGGCGACCTCCCTCGAGCGCTTCCTCGCGACCAAGTTCCCTAACGAGAAGCGCTTCGGCCTCGACGGCGCGGAGGGCCTTGCACCGGGCCTCGCGGCGCTGATGGACCGCTGCGCCGACGTCCACGGCGTGCGGGACATCGTCATCGGGAGCTGCCACCGCGGGCGGATGAACGTGATGAGCACCGTTTACGGCAAGGACTTCGAGACACTGTTTCGGCAGTTTGCGGGGACGGAGAAGTTTGATGTGGAGGCCGGGCAGACGGGTGATGTGAAGTATCACTTCGGCATGGAGGGCGAGAGGACGACGGCGGGCGGCGGTGTGGTAGGGGTGGAGATGCTGCCTAACCCGTCGCATCTCGAGGCCGTTGATCCTGTTGCGCAGGGCAAGGCGAAGGCTGTGCAGGAGATCAAGGGGGATGTGGACCAGTCCAAGGTCATGTTCATGGCGCTGCATGGCGACGCGGCCTTCTCTGGGCAGGGACCCGTGTACGAGACACTGAATCTCTCAGCGTTAAAGGGGTACGAGGTCGGCGGGACGGTGAGGCTGATGGTCAACAACCAGATCGGCTTCACGACCGATTCCCCCGACTCCCGATCGACGCCGTACTGTTCCGACCTGGCCAAGTACATCGAAGCCCCGATCTTCCACGTCAACGCGGACGACCCGGAGGCGGTCGTGTTCCTGTGCAAGCTCGCCGCCGACTGGCGGGCCGAGTTCCGGTCTGACATCGTCATCGACATCAACTGCTACCGGCGCTTTGGGCATAACGAGATCGACCAGGCGAGCTTCACGCAGCCGGAGATGTACAAGAAGATTGCGGAGCAGCAGCCGTTGCTGGAGAAGTACGTTGAGAAACTTGTTAGTGAAGGGACGATGCAGGCGGAGATTGTGGAGGAGCAGAAGAGGTGGGTTTGGGAGCAGCTGGAGGAGAAGCTGGCGAGGAGCAAGATGCCTGTGGAAGGGCTGGAGACGGGAGATAAAGCCACCTTGGAAACGTCGTCAACATCGACGGCAGTTGAGGAGGCAACCCTTTCAACCATCGCCGATGCAATCACCAGCGTACCAGAGGGCTTCAACCTCCACCGCAACCTCCAACGCATCCTCGCAGCCAAGAAACAAGCCTTCGACGCAGGCACCATCGACTGGTCCACCGCAGAAGCCCTCGCCTTCGGCTCCCTCGTCCTGGAAGGCAAACCAGTACGCATCAGCGGCCAAGACGTCGAGCGGGGGACCTTCTCCCAGCGCCATTCGGTCCTGCACGACCAAACCACGCACGCCGAGTACACGCCGCTCAACCATCTCCAAGACCACCAGCCCGCGCGGTACACCGCCGTCAACTCACCGCTGAGCGAGTTCGGCGTACTTGGGTTTGACTACGGGTACTCCCTCGCGGCGCGGGAGTCGCTGGTCATGTGGGAGGCGCAATTTGGCGACTTTGCGAATAATGCGCAGGTTGTGATTGACCAGTTCATCGCGTCCGGGGAGGCGAAGTGGTTGTTGAAGAGCGGGCTGGTGATGTCGTTGCCGCATGGGTATGATGGGCAAGGCCCGGAGCATTCGTCGGCGAGGCAAGGGAGGTTTTTGGAGCTGGGGAGCGAAGATCCGAGAGCGTGGCCTGAGGATCTGGAGAGGGCGAGGAGGGAGTGTAATGTGCGGATTGTGTACATGACGACTCCGGCGAATTTGTTTCATGCTTTGAGGCGGCAGATTTACTCGCCTTATAAAAAGCGTAAGTTCAACGTCCAAGAGGAAGACTGCTTGCTAACATCTCCAGCCCTCATCATGTTCTTCTCTAAATCTCTCCTCCGCCACCCTTTGGCACGATCATCTGTACAAGAACTCACGGGCACATCGACCTTCCAGCCAGTCCTCTCCGACTCAGAGCACGGCAACAGTATCTTACCCCGAAAGGAAATCAATCGTGTGATCCTCTGCAGCGGCCAAGTCTACGCCTCGCTCCATAAACACCGCGAAGCAAAGGGCATCAAGAACACAGCCATCACGCGCATCGAGGAGCTGCATCCCTTCCCGTGGGCTGAGGTGAAGGAGAACCTAGACTCGTACCCGAACGCGCAGACGATCGTGTGGTGTCAGGAGGAGCCGTATAACGGAGGTGCTTGGCAATACATGCGCGATAGGCTGGAGACGGTGGCTTCAGAGTCGGAGAATCACAAGTTCAGTCGGATGGTGTACGCTGGGCGGGGGACTGGGGCTGCGGCGGCGACGGGGTCGAAGAAGGTGCATCAAGCGGAGGAAGAGAGACTGTTGGCGGATGCTTTTGGTGACGTACAAGGATAGGAATATGGTGTTGGTGTTGCATTAGAAACGTTTCTTGAACCCCGTCTTAACATTGCTGTCTCTATTCTGTAGCAGGAACGTACGCAGCGCTACCGCAGTTCCAAGTCACTTAGCACGCAATCTATGCAAATCCATCATAGCCAAATTGTGTCAACCACAATTTCTCGCCTCTCCGAAATAAAATCAGCGCGGGGTAAGGAGAAGTAAGGTACCTACTCTAGGGTATCAGGAACAAGGTGAGGGTCGCTGATAAGGACGTGGCATATCTTGCGAGCCGACGCATGCGGATCATGCCCACCAAGAACCATGGCTGCAGGAAAGTAAGCGACCAAATGCGCAACTTGTCAAGTGAACCAATCGCTAAACATCTTTCGCGGCCTAAAAGGATCATGCGGCTGACCTCAAGTTGCTCATAGCCTGCAGCTACCACACCCACTAGTGAGACTTCTCCCGTCTTTTCATCTCAGCCTGCTGCAACTGCGACACGCCACAAAGCTGAGCCAACGTGACCTCCGTTGGCCTCTTTTGTCACAAGATTCTGTCCGGGTTATGCTCGTAATCTTTCCCCTCATGCTCTTCCAGGCATACATGACAATGTTGACGACTCCATCTATGCTCGAAACGACGCCAGCCACACTCACTCTCCCCGTATTGCAATCCTAGGCAAATGTCTCATCGCCGGTGAGGTTGAAGCCCAATTCAGCCCTTTTCGTGAAGGTGCTATTGTTGCGTCTCCCATGATAGCATGCGTTTTGCGTCGGCGGAAAGCGCAGCCTGATCCATCAAGCCGTCATAATGGATCCATTTTCCATCACCCTTGGCGTGATCAGCCTCATAGGCACCAGCGCAAAGATCATAGCAACGCTGAAAGACACCGTGGATTCTTCCCGGGGTATTGATAGACGATTACAGATGCTCATCAGCGACGTGGAGATGTTCAAGGCTATGCTGGAGTCAATGAAGGGGACGCTGGAGTCGAAAGAAGTGCGCCCACTTCTTCTCCATGCGGCGGGCAATCTGAATAGTCATTGGAACACCATATCAGTGTGCATTCAAGATGGCGAGAAGATGATGTCTGAGTTCGCTGTCATGTTGGAGAAGATTGACAAGTCCGTCGATTTCATGGATGCGATAAGGAAGGTTCTCAGACTGAAGTCATCTTGGGAAGATATCTCGGTCTTTCAGACCCAGCTATCATCTTGTCGGGAAACGATATCTGTATCGCTTCATGCCGTGCTGATGTGAGTATCCACAGGATTTTCACCAATCTGAGCTTGCTCTTACTGGTCTACTAGATGGAATCAGGTCCTGAGCAAGGATCAAAATGTTTTCGGCGGGCCTTTGTTCTTGCCCGTCCTTTCCGACCTTACGGCCGCGATCCGTCGCTTGGCAGAAGATGTGAATGAGCGCATGAAGGTTCTGGAGAATTGCGTCGATTCTCGTGATACTGAAAGCGAGATGTCGACGCTCAACAACATGAAGAATTGCGTCCAATCTTCGGCCAAAATTGCATCGACTGCATCTTCTTGGGCTCTCTCCACAGATGCCGCCGAGTCAATCGCGGCCTCGGATTTGTATGATATCTGGCCCGTCCAGCCTGACCCAAATACACTTGCCTGGGTCGCCAGCACGTCGAACATAGACCTGATTCGGGCCTCGGTTCGTTCAATTCCGATTATTTCATTTTCGGCAGCCGATCAATCAGACTCAGACGATGAGATGGAAGCCGAAATTGCCAATATTCATATGAAGCGAGGACGTGAAGAGCTGCTTTTAGGGAACTTTGCAACTGCCGAGCGATATCTCCAGAGAGGGGTGCGACGGCTGAGGAGCTCTAGAAGCCAGCGACAGAATCTTGCTGTGCATGCTGATGGGCTGGAGAATCTGGTAACCCTGTACCGTGAACAAGAGAGATGGGAAGAGACCAAAGACACGATCATCGAGAGGCTTGCGCTCCTCTCCAGGACTGCAACGGCCGACTCAACGGAGGTTCTGAAGGAAAGGCTAGCTCTCGCCGATGTGCTTTTGAAGCTTCATGATCCGGTACAAGCTCGCCTACACGCAAGGACTTGCATCAAAGCTTATCGAAAGCTTGGTCCACCAGGCCACGAAGGGCTCAAAGGCTCTCTGAGTATGATGATCGAAATATGCTCTCGGGAGAATGACATCGATGGAGAAGAAGAGCATCGTCTTCTTCTTTCCAATATTTCACCGTCCCTGGATGCAGACGATTCGTCCCTTTGGTCTCAGACTGTGGTGGGAACAAGCCTGCACAGCGACTCTGGTTCTTTCACTGAACTGACAACGGATGATACAACTCCTCCTGCCTTCTTCCAAAATCCGACAAAGCAACTCATGCCACGCCGAAAGAGTTCTGACGAAGGAGAACGACAGTCTTCAGATGGAATAACGCAAGCAAGTTGGAATCCAGGGATCACCACTTCAAATGAGCGTTGCTCCCAGACCAAAAACCCGGTACCGTCCGATCCCAATCATCCCATACTTACGGATTATCCCTTTGCGACCTTAAAGACACAGATAATTGCTTCGACGGACGACTCAAACACCTCGAGTCAATTGGAAACCTCAAACAGTCCAGACATCGAGGTCATGGAGACATTCTCCCAGTCGCACCATCGTTCGGTAAGGTCTTCCGGTGATTTCAGGAAAAGCCTGAGGACTAACATATCTGTAGGTTTCAAACCCAGAAGCATCTTTACAGAATGACACGTCAATAGGTCAAGCTCGGACAAAGAGCACTCAGCACATTAGACTAAGTGTGGAGTCTCCTCGAGAGGGTACAATTGACAATTCTTCCGGAATAGAGAGACTGAAAAGCAACTCGTGTTCGAATTTGAATGCCAATTTCAATCAGTCAGCCATTGATTCTGAGCAAAGTTCATTTCGGATCAAAACAGACAAATCGACGCCATTGCTACCGAGAGTTAGAGCAATATTTGTTGGGAGTGCTTGCAGTGGCAAGACTTCTCTCATTAGGTGCGTATATTCCATTTGCGAAAGCTGCGAGTAAACATTCACAAGCCTATCCAACTTCATTTTGTGAGTGTCGCTAACAATATCGTTTAGTCGTTATTTCCATGGCAGTCAAACTTTGACAGACATAGTAAGCAACTTAGTATACTATCCGTTGCATAGGTACTTATGCTATGATTCTAAGCTAACCTGAGACCTCATAGAACGACTGCACTCGTGCCCTCATCCCGCAATTTAAAGCTTGCTCCATTCAGCTTGGATCAGAAACAGTGTCGGTAGAGCTTGTGTTGTGGGATAGTCCTGGGCCGATGAGTGAGACACTGTTTCCCGACACAATTCACAACATTGCCGACACCATAAACTGCATCGTTCTATGCTTCGCTGTCGACGAGCCTGATCTCATTCCAGACCTCGACACTTTGGTAAGTGAATGAGCAGAGCGAACTATCATTCCGCCAACACCGCCAACCTTTCAGTCGTGAGCGTGATCGTTGACTATTAGCAGTGGGCGCCACGACTTCGGACACTGTTTCCAAACAGGCCAGTGATACTAGTGGGCACGAAGATAGACCTTCGGTCAAACGGAGAACTGCACAGAGTGAATCAGCCATGTGATCACCGAGAGGTAAAGAAGACGCGAGGTGTTTGTCTTCACGTCGATTGCTAATCACTATCCAGTAGGGGATTCAGATCCAGGACAGGATTAGAGCAGTTAGCTATGTGGACTGCTCGGCCAAGACTGGAGAGGGAGTTGACCAGCTCATGAGGGAGGTCGTGCTTTTTAGCATGAAACATCGAGAACGTATGGCTGAGCTTGGAAGGGTAAAGAGCATCTGGCGGAAGGGCATGGGATGGCTGAGGAGTAAGCCTTGAGAAGGCCAAGCCTCGTGTGAATAATTAACAGAGAGTCATTTCAAGGATTCCCCCGCGTACCGAGGCATGGATTTAATTTCCGGCTGAGTTTATGCCCATATCGTTGGCCTTCCAGTCTTTGTTATTTTCGGCTATTTCGGCCTCGCTTTCGCTAACACTCATGTCGACGAAGCTCGGTGGGGGCAAGTAGAGTTGCCAGTAGCAGCCCATAGTCTATCCACTGCTCTATCCCGTTGTGATTAGCGGCCAAAGTACGCGGGACTTCCAACATACGCAAGAATTATGCGATGTACGAGAAATCATTTCCCCAAACTCAACAGTCGGCCGCCTGTTGTGTATCTCCACTGGCGCTAGATCAGATCATTCGGCTTTGCCGAAGTGAGGCAGAACAGAGACCGGACGATGAAGTGTTCGTCCAGACCCAGGCGTCAATCTGATAGGAACTCTATTCCCTCCACAAGGCAGGATTATCCCCTTCAGTGAGTAGACGGCCCGGCGCCAGGGCACTTTTGAAGTTGCCAGCCTCACTGAACAGCCGAGGACATTCCCTGAACACTAGCGGGTAGACGCTAGCGGAAAGCTTGTAACCGGCGCTAGAAGCCCTGGAAATAAGATCGACCCGCATGCAAATATGCATGCTTATCAGCAGATCTCAAAATTCGTCTCTTTTTTCCGCACTTAATCGGAGACTCGACGGTTCATCTGTACGCCCTGGATGATTTGCATGCCAAAAGTTCAGAACTCTGTTTGATTGACTCATTTTTCAGCCTGCAAGTCAAAGTTTGCGACTGTATGGATGAGCTAGACGGCAATTGTCACGCAGATGTGATGATGGTTGATCTAATGATCAACTGGCTTTCGAAGTTTCAAAATTGTATGGCGACTTGATGTATCCTGCACCATAGTCGGAGCCTTTGGTTAGAAAATCATTCGAGTTGTGATGTGCAACCTCTCAAATACTTGACTGCAAAGAAGCGGCTCTGGGAAGTGACGATAAGACCTGTGTTGGGCGCATGGTTTCATCAGTGATCAGCTCCGAACGACGTGGCCGGGAGGTTCGGCAGAGCCTAAGTCATGATAGATATTCCAGGACCAATTGGGCAAAAACCAGAGGTGCATGAACACTAGCACTGAACGTTCAGCAGACCGTGACTCAAGGTTGACATGGCACTAAGATTTGCCCAGGCAGAAGAAAAGGTCTCAAGCAGACTATCTACATCTAAAGATGAGAAAGATATTGGAGGTTGAGTAAATAGTGACTCGACTTTGAGATGTGGGTAAGATTTCCCTAGGCAGAAGAAAAGGTCTCAAGCAGACTATCTACATCCGCCCGATGCTGAGAGCTAGGATGCACTGATCATGATCAAGAGATAGCCTACCATGAGACGTATAAGAACATGCGATACTGTCCTCCTTTGACCGTCTAAAAAATCGCTCCTCAGCCACAGTTCTATGCTTCGATCACCACGTTCGTTCACTTCCTACAAGACAACACTCTCTACTTTGGTTTTAGTCTAACGCACGACTCTATCGCAAAGATGCACTTCAATCCTACTCACATTCTTTTCCTGGCTGCTCTTGCGAGCGCCGTTCCCACTGAGATGGGTAGCATGGATCCACGCAGGTATGTCTGCAACTGAGTAGGATTGATGACCAACTTCTGATCAAAAACGCGAATATAGCCCGGCAGGTTCTGAACTCGATACTCGTGCAGCTGGCAAATGGGAAGCTCACGCCAAGTACTATGCCCTCGGAGGCAAGGTCGGCAGCGAGATCTACATCTCCGGAACCTGGACCGACCCGATCAAGAACCCTGGCCAGCCCTCCGGTACCTGCACTGCCCGTATCGGTGGAATAAGCGGTGGTACGCCCAATGTGGTCGGCTGCAACTGCGAGATCTCGGCCACTGGCCCCTTGAAGTTCGAGTCCACTTGCTTCCTTGACTTCGCTGAGGAGGCGTCCAACGGGGATTGGGCTGCTGGCTTTTCCGTGGCCTTCAAGTGCTCGGCCTTCTTCTCTTGCACTGGGTCGAACGCCTACTCCATTGCCAGCGCCAACTCGGCCTGCAAGAACACCAGCGGAACACCCTGTGCTGGTTTCCACGTCACTCCTTGAGCTCCCGTTCATGGGCAATGGCCTTCTTTCACGAAGGCTTCATCAGCGATAAGGAATGATGATGGATGTAATTGGGACTAGGTACCAGTTTGATTCACGAATCATAGAGACAATCAATATACCTTCCCGAGAACTATTCTCCACGTTGGTCATCTCTGATTAACGTGAACTGTATAAGGGTTGATAAGATGATTGGAGTGTCTCATTTTTGCCTCGATCAACTCCGTCGTGTTATTGCTACACAGAAGCAGGCTTCCGCGCCGTGAATAAGTGCTTAATGCCTTAATGCAAGTTAGTAAAATGCTAGAGTACCACAGATAAGATTGCATGATTACATCAGATATGATACCGCTCTGTTATGTATCGGGGATGGGACATCTTTCCCTCGATATTCCTTTTCCGCCGTCCAAACCTTGAATGGTTCCAGGGCAGCTTTTGCAACGTAGGAAACTCTTCATGTGAAGTGGAATACGAGAGAAAGGACAGGGCTTACATGGTAGAATGGATGACGCGCGGCTAGGCTGGACATGGAAATACAAAATATGAAGATTATGAAAGACGCCCGGAAAGAGTCAAGCGGCTATTCAGCCGTGGAAGTCAAGCGTATTCTTTTGTCACTGAAAACAAATGGGCTGGATAGTGTCTTTAAACACGACGCACTACCCTCCACTCCATCCCGACAAGTCGGACGAGTGTCATGGGTGCAATTTCTGCACCGAAGGTAAGTCTTAATGGTGCGTGAGGCCGCTGTGCCCAACGCTTGACTCAAATTCCAATCAGTAACTTAATATCGACAAACTCGCATTACGGTTGAAAACCCCCGGACTAGCATGGGTAGATCTGTGTGTGCATCAGAGGAAAGCTGAGACGGTGGGATTTGAACATTGAAGCTTTTGATTGAAGTTCTTGGCACTATGGCCGTGACCTGCTTGGAACAAGACGCTAGCTCACATCCGGTAAACTTTTCACGAGCAGCCGCTTCAGAAATGAATTGCCTCGGCGATAGGAGCCTCCCTTTGGAAATCAAATGCCGAGCTTAATTTGACTACCCGCTCACTCAATCTCTCCCGAAACAGTTACGGCTGCACGTCGGTCCTCTAGGAACTGGATCGCGAGGGCCATTTCAGATGGTTCCCATTACTAGTGACTAAACCTGAGGATCTTGTATTGATCCAATCACGCAGAACAAACCAGGAGGGTGCATCTCACTTAAGGATGAACTCGACCAATGGCGTGGGATGCTCCTGAGGCGGCAGGGTCTTCTGATTGATTTGAAGTAGAATTGTATCCTGCCCTGCTCCCAAACCAGTCGGAGACTTGAAGTAGCCGGCTGAAGTTACCAGCCTACCGCGAGTCAAACCTTTTGCATCTACTGGGCAAAAGAAGTGTCATATGGACAGCTGTGTTGATGAAGCCTACCAAAGGACAGACTGAAAAGCCTCTACTGGGCCCAGCCAATGTTAAGGTCGCGACTAGAAGAATCTGGCGAATTCCATGCCGTTTGGAGTTATTCACTATAACCATAATTCTTTATAACTTCAAGCAACACTGGCGTCAACCGATGTCGCGAGGACTACATGGGCTGTTCTGTAATTGTTCCTGGTGACTTGTAAGAAGTCATGCACGAGATTCAACCCAAGTTATGTCACTTATATGATCCGACTTCAATCTATCCAGCTACCTCGAAGTATTACCGGCTCAGGTGGCATTCGAGACTGAAGAAAATTAAATCAAGGTAGCTTAAGGCCCTGACGACATGGAAGTGCAAATTGCCAAGGAGAATTAATTTGCTACGTGCATCGAGTCATTCTAAGGTTCAGGTGATGGTGAGCAAAGGGGCCCCAACTCTGGGACATATAAGGCTGGCCTTTCGCACACGCAGAGAGCAGTCTGTACCCCAAGCACATTGGAGTACGATTGCAGGACACCAAAATGAAGCTGATCATTGTGGTCACAACACTCATGCTGAATGGCATCGCCTCAGCCAAGATCGCCCAAATGCTGTGCAACAACAAGCCGCCTTTGAGCCAATGGGGAGTGAGTTGTGTTTTACGAAAGTAGACTTGTCTGCTGAACTAACAGTGAATGAGCCTGCGAATTGTTCTGAAGAAGATCACTGGACGTGCTACTCACGCTGTCAGAAGGAGGTTGGTCGAACTCATTTGTCGCCTCTCAGACCTCACTGACACTAATTAGTGCCCCGTCGAGAGACAACCTTCAGTAGCCTCTATTGGATATGTGTAAGTGCACTGATTCAATCGCAGTAGACTGAGGCTAATTCAGCTGTAGGCGATCTGACGGACAGTGCGACTGCTATTGCTGGGTGTAAAGGGGCAGCACCTACGGCGACACCGTTGAAGTACCTTATGATATCTGTCATGTTATCGACGCATCAAAGTCCAACTCATGTTGCGACGGAGATGCTGAAGTCTGTATGGGATCTGGCAGCACAGAAGCGAACAAGCTCGATATTCTTTGATGGGTATTTCTGTCACAATTGAGATGGTATGCAAAACAAAGAGCGTTTGAAAGCGTACTGCCTGGGCGAAAGAAAATGCGTTCATCAAGCTGGCCAGCGCTGTTAAACTCGGCGCATATTTGCCAAGGCAGGTTTGTGTGTGTCCAAAGATCATATGGGTGGTTTAGGTCTGTTTCCCACTCCTTCCTATCAGAGTGGGTTGATCTCCGTGCTCCTCCTGCAGAAATGTGACCACAACATGGAGCATTTACCTTTCTCAGCAAGAATCTCTGGGCAACGTGGAGATTGATGTAATTTTCCCACGCCGGAAGCAGGGAATAGGCACGCGGTGTGTACTCATTGGTTGGAAACAGCAAGATCCATGTCGATTGCATGCACTGCTGGCCTCTTCCAACGCCTCGCACCAACGCCAGCCTGGTCCGACGTTCCAGACAAAACACCCATAAACCCCTCATGTCTACAATTCAGATACTTGTCCTCGATCAACTGTCCACACTCTTCTACTTCTGTAATTGATTACCATCTGCCCGAACTAGGTAACATTGTCTGATATCATGACCGACTTGACCGGAGGTACAGCCGAGCTGCAACCGAGCGTCGCCCCCGCTGCTGGAACGACCACGGCCCCGAATACAGGCCCCTCGCGAGTTACATCGAATGGGAATGATCATGACGAGCAACCGCCTCTGGAAGTCGACGATGCGGCCGTGGTATAACATTGCCTATCTCTTCCAAATTCTGCGAAGCATCATTTTGCTAACATGAGCAATAGCCCGCAGACGATGATTCTGCAAACGAGGATCAGCTGTAGGCCTCCTTGGATGCCGTGTACGATGGAAAACAATTCACTGACAAATTGAACAGCTCCTCGTACACTGCATCATTGACTTCAAGCGTCATTGACTACCCTATCGAAAATGGTCGCCGCTACCACGCGTATCGAGCGGGGTGTATGTCATGTTTAACCCATTATTTGAGCAATCATGTATTCCAAATACCTTGCTAACGCCGCATCATAGCGTACTTCATGCCCAATGATCAAGTGAGGGTTCCTTCTTTTTTTTCTTTTTTTTCCTTTTTGAGATTCCAGACTTTAGATTTTGACTTTGACAGAATGAGATGGATCGACTTGATTACGCACATCTTGTCACGACGAAGATACTCGGGGACAAGCTGTATGTTGCGCCCATTGAAGAGAAAAAAGTCCACCAAGTTTTGGACATTGGCACCGGGACTGGACTCTGTAAGCTCTTTTCCAGAACACATCTAGATTCAAAAAGGCCGAGGGTGCTGAACTTCAATAGGGGCAATCGATTTTGCAGATCGTTTCCCAGCTGCAGAGGTAAGCTTTCTCCGGTTTCCCTTGATATTGCACCTTTGGTGACAAATTGTGTGAAGGATGCCAGTTTTATTTATGACTAACCGGCACCCAAGGTCCACGGTATTGATCTCAGCGCTATTCAGCCAGAATGGTGGGTCTTTTCAAACTGAAATTGGCATGTCGACTCACACTATCGAACAGGGCCCCCCCCAATGTCAAGTTCGAGATTGACGACGTCGAGAGCCCTTGGGTTGACAGAACGTATGACTTCATCAACTGCCACTGGATGATGGGCTCCATTCAGGATTGGCCAAAGCTGGTCAGCAACTGTTACAAGTGCGTGTCACATAGAAGAAGCCCAAGTAAATGTCGCGTCTCATACTGATCCTGACTGAAGGAACTTGAACCCGGGAGGCTGGGCAGAATTCCTCGAAATGGGTGGAGAGTACAGTTCAGACGACGGAAGCTTCACCCACGACCACGCCACGTACAAGTGGATCAAAACTCTTTTCGACGGCATTGCGTCGACAGGTCGTGACAGCCGTCCCGGTACCAAGCTGAAAGGTTGGGTCGAGAATGCAGGTTTTGAGAACATAACATACAAGAAGGTCAAAGTGCCGCTTGGTGTGTGGCCAAAGGACCCTTACTACAAGGAAATGGGTTTCTTGAACTTAACAAACCTCTTGGACGGTCTGGAAGCTTTCACCTTGAGAATATTCTGCGGCGTACTTGGGTTTACCAAGGAGGAAACGATGCTGCAACTCGCCGAGGTCCGGAAGGAGCTGAAAGACAAACGTAGCTTCAATGCGTACTACGAGGTGTAAGTGGGCTTCACAATGCTATGAAATGCCAAAGCTGACGGAAAGAAATCAGGCACATCGTGTGTGGACAAAAGCCTGCTGGAAATGCGGAATAATGCTGTGATTTGCCTCTCGCTTGACCACTGGGCATTATTCTAATTTCTTTGCAACAGCCGGTAGTTCATATTCAGATCCATAGCGCATAAATTTACTCGTCCTAGAAAACGTTTTCCAGCGATCGAAAATACATTCTTAGAGTGGATGCATCCTCATTATGCTTATCCTAAGATCCCGAGGTGGAGTCGGCAAGCCCGTATTAAATCCCGGTCCACGACTAGCGTTCATCTCGCATTCCCACATGGGGAGATTAAATCACTATACATAGAACCTGGCACTGTGGCTCGGATCAGCCCCAAAGCCATGGATAGACGTTGGAAGGATGTTAGATCTTGGATAAATATAAGCATTGTCCTCCAGACCTAAGGAATCGTCTTCCAACTTCCTACTGTCTTTGGTTTGTCCGAGACGACTGTTCGGAGTTCCACCAAAAAACATGAAGATCCCGACAGCATCTGCATTTTACGGGGCAGCACTCATCTCGGCCGCGGCATCCGCGGCGGGCCTGCCATCGATTGCCCGGAGGGCCGACAGCTCATCCTGCAAACTCGCAGCGAACCAGAGCGTGTATTTCAGCTCGGGGTTCGGCTACAACTACGATTGCGCGCCTAGCACAGGCACTTTAAATGCACTGATGCTCTTCATCGACTTTCCCGACCAGACCGCATCCGAAGCCTCACCCAAGGAAGCCTACGATGTCTTCTTCCCACAGACAGCAGAGTGGTTCGACAAATCTTCTTACGGCAAGCTGTCATTGAACGTCACCGCCGATACGACGCGATTCTACCGCATGCCAAAAAACGCGACCGATTATCAATTCGAGAGAGGCCTGTCTCAGCAGATGCACCAAGTCTACATCAAGGATGCCCTGGAAGAATGGCTCAAGATCACCAACACACCAGTACCGGGCGTTAACAGCACCGAAGGCCCAATTGCGGATGTGCTCTATATCATCCCGACAAGAAACGCGACGGCTATCAGCTTCTCTGCCACTCTTACTTCTTCTGTGTATACCTACGATATCAACTACGTCGCTAGGAAGGCTGTCACCATAGGCTTTGACACCTACGACGTGTGGGGTTACAAAGCTCTCAACCACGAAACGGGACACGCCTTTTGCCTCCCAGATCTATACCCGCTGCCTTCGGGCTACACAGGCCTTTACACTGGAAACTGGGATATGATGGCCAATGTTGGTGGGCACAGTCCGGATTGCTTCGCGTGGAACAAGTGGAGGTTGGGCTGGCTTGCAGACGACCAGATTGAGTGCGTAGTCCCAGCGGCCGGAAGCAGCGCTGGGAATGCATCGGCGTCGACTACCCATAAGCTGTCCCCACTGGAGACCGAGGGTGGCGTGAAGGCTGTCGTCGTTAAGCAGAACGAGAAAGAAGCATTAGTAGCCGAGGTTAGGTCGAGGACTGGCAACGACGAGAACGCTTGTGCTACAGGCGTGTTGTTGTACACAGTAGCAACCGATGTTGCCACGGGAGAGGGACCGATTCGCGTTCTAGATGGAAACCAAGGCTGGGGCTCGGCTAGCTGCGCGAATGACGAGCTTGACAACGCGCCGTTGACCTTCAATGGGGGCGGGGCGAGCGCATACACCGTGAAGGATTGGGGTGTTACCGTAACTGTTGTCGCACAAGAAGGCGACGACTACACTATTCGTATAGATATGGCTTGATCGTAGTAGTAGCTTACCAATGATACCCACACGTTTGTTGAACGAAGTGAGCAACTTTAGACTTTCTTTGTACATGAGATTTTTCTATTCAGGCCGAATTCGAGAACCCGGCAACCCCCAGTGCCGCCAAGTGTCAGAGGTTGCCAATGTGAAGTGAAATGCGCAGGGAATAGTTGCCATTTTCAGATGGCGAACACTTGGCATTTCTCACGAATCATACACGTCATGGGGCATGAACGGCAGTTCATCACACGGTTGATGAAGAACAGCGTTTCGTGTGCTCACAAGGCGTCGAATAGGATGGCATTTTCACGAGTGGGGAACAAAGTTGCACATTTTGGCGGAACCCAATGCCATTTTGTCGGTCAACGGTCGGAGGCTTGCAAGCAGACGAAATACTCGAAAATTGGGGTCAGCATGAGACGGGCTGCTCATGCATCGTAATGTGGCGGATGACAAACTCTGATGATCTGCTTCTCAGAGTGTATGATCTCTCAAGCAACAGTCATGAATGCGGAGGTGGAATGAGCCCAGACCAAAGTGGACACCTCACTTGTTGACCCCGCGGCCTGCGATCACCATGAGCAACTGGTTCTGGATTCGACCTTGAGATTTCATCCCAGTACCGCCGGTGGCTCTGGGGAAAAGGAAGAAGCCACATTATTAGGGTCGGTTCCCACGCGCCAGAATGTGCTTGGGGGGCATGGTCTGGCTGAGTCAGTGGAGCGTGACAAGTGATGAACTGCATCTCATCTCAGACTGAGGATGATTATCAGGACCTCTTAAGGGTCATAACAAATCGCGCAACCGTCTTATGAGGCCAAGTTCAGACGCTGAATCGTCTGGTCGCCGGCTCGTCCGATTGAATAGTTCGCGCTGGTGGATGACAAAGCTCGAGTCATATCCCAATTCATCCCAGGCCGAATTC